AGTTTTCACCATAAGTTAGTAATAATATTTTTATCGCTCACACATATTTTTTCCTTGATCTACTTGTAGAAAATAGTATGTACCGTTTAACCGAGGCTAAGAAAAAACAAATTTTTACTTACTATGTTTTTTTTTGCTCTTAGGAACGTAAAATGAGCAATACTAACGATATCACTCCCAAGAACAAGAAAAATAAGACCCCTTAGGACCAATGATAACGACGCCCCGGGACCAACGCCCCAAGACCATCAATCTATCGTTCCTAGAGAATTTTTTTCTTGTAAGCAATGTTTAATTTCGTAAATATTCTATGAAACAATTTCTTTAAAATACAATTGACAAGGTTTAAGTTTTATTTTATTAAAACTGATCAGGATGATTATGATCCTTAATGTATAATTGGAAAAAAATTATTATTTTTTTTATTTGTATATTGTTTTGGCAACAATTTTTTATTAAATAAAGAATGAGTCGGTGACCCGCCATTTTTTATTTTTACGCGATTGTGTAAATTGGCAAAAATATTAGAATTTATCGCCACATAGGGGGTTGTCTTATAATTTATCTAGTTAATTTCTTTTTCACAAGAAATTAGCCGATCACTTCCTGAACTTGGTTCAGTGAATTTGGATTTTAGAGTAGGTTCTATCTTCATACTATACTCAAATGACACATTATCTGTAATATATTGAATATCTTTATTTGTCATTTTTGAGATGCTATCAGCGGTAAAGGAACGTATTCGATAAATTTTATTCTTACCTATTGCATTGAAAAGTTTATAGATCTTAGCCTTTTCGATTCTTTTTCATAAAAGTGCATCCGAAATATCTACTGGAAGCTGAGCACGAACTTTTTTATTTAAAATTCTACTAACTATATTGAGAGTTTCGCCAAATAGGTGATAACACATGATAGTTTCTTGAGTTTTACGGTTAGCAAGAATTATAGCATTACAAAGTTTTTCATCTAAAAACATGAAGTTAATATTGCTGGATTGAGATGCGAAGCATTGAGTCTTTGACTCTTCTGTTTTATTCAGGATTGTAGATAATATATCACTATCTGTATTACCATTACTAACGGAAACTTCTGACCAGTGTTAGTTTTTCAGTTAAAATTTACTGTGCGGACACCGCACAATTTGGAAATTTTTTGTGCGGGAAATAAAGAAAAACTATTTACAAGTGTGCGCACTACTTACAAAATGTTGATTTTTCTGTGCGGCACTGTTCAAAAGAAATGTGCGCAAAATTTTGTTTTTGTGTGCAGAGAACGGTCCGCACAGCGAAAAATAATCACTGCTTCTGACTAGTATTTCTCTACTTTATTTTTATT